CCCCAAAACCCCAAAACCCCAAAACCCCTTGAGAATTAATATGTTAGAATCGAGCATAAATTGAAAAATAGGGAAAATAAAAATTCTAATTTATATGCTTCAATTTCTAGGATCAGTGAGCACATACACACAAATTCTAAATTCTGATTAATTATGGGATCAATTCAAGTAATTCAAATAACTTATAGGTTTCAGAGTCACTTTTTATTTGCATAATAAGAATCCTCACAGACAATGAGCTAGTGGATAAGAGTTACAAACTTCATATTCTCTTTACCCAGCATACCCTCTAGTTCATCCTAGCCTGAATCATCATTCTATGATATATTCTATAAAATCAATATGATTATTAATGCAAATACCACTAAATGCTTGTAGGCTGCAATGAATTGTTCATCCCCAAGCTAGTTTTCAAGATAAACTCTTAATGCTTCTATTCTATATCCCATTGAATCCTTTGCCGTAACTCCAGGTAAATTCAATAAGAAATTGGATTTCAACCTAACTTCCTTGGCTTCCTCAAAATTATCATCTTCATCCTCTGAGTTTTCTTAGTGAAGTCTTTATTAAGATGAGACATCTAAATTAAATAGATTAATTGAGATGCATTATACTTTTTTAAGGTATTTAATATTTACTTGCTGGCTGTTCATCATACTTAGCATTAAGATAATTATTATAAACTTTTTAGTCCTTTTAAGCAGGTTGATAAGGCATTGTGGGTTCTTGATATTTCTGAACTATTGATTGCTACTGTGACTAATTACTATTTGTAGCAGCCTAACTGCTCGATCTTATGACACTTTTAACGACTGGATTTTAACTCTAGTTTGGTGTTCCCTATCTAGAACCCACATTATTATTCATAGGCTTGAAATAATTCTGATGTCTTTGCTGATTTTATCTCTATTCACTCAACTCTCTAATAGCTGGTATTTTTTCTCTACCATCTGCTTGTACATCATAACTTGAATGAATCTAAAATCTATTATTATATGCAATTTTACATTATCCTTAAATTCATCGTTTTAACTGTTTGTGTTCCCACCTGAAAGGATCTCCATCCTTTTCTTCTTTTTTAGAACTTCCTTAGTATTTTAAATAACCTTTTATTATTGCTTATTTGAGATTTATTAATCCTCAACCACACTGAGATCGCTTAAACTACCAGAACCTTTTTCCTTCTCCAAATTCTCCTAAAGAAAATAAGATTATCTATATTACTATACAGTAAATTCTTTTTAATATTGAGTCACACTACTTACTTTATTCAGGTGAGGAGCTAAATTTTTGTTAATAAATGACTGTGAAAAATCTTCTATTGACAATGTCTTGCTTAATAATTTCGCTATTCGTTAACTCAGAAAATCTTTTTCAAGGATTTTACGCATGCTAGGGCTTTTTGAAGGATCTTTTATAAGCATATCTGCTAGAAGATCTTTTAAATCTTGGCTGTAATGATCTGGGAGTGGTGGATAACTTCCTCTTAAAATTTTGAGAACCAATCCTTTCATAGAATTAGAGTCGAATGCATGTTGGAGAGTAGCCATTTCATAGAGTATACAACCAAGCGACCAGATATCAGATTTTTAATTGTATGGTTTTTCTTAACAAATCTCTGGTGAGAGATAGTAAGGAGTTCCTATTGCAGTTTGAGCACAGTCATATGTATGCTAGAGAACTCTGGCTATACCAAAGTCCCCTATTTTAATTGTGTTATTCTAAGTCATGAATATGTTTTAAGTCTTCAAGTCTCTGTGTAATATTTTCCTATCATGAATATGCTTTATTGCTAATGCCATTTAAACGAACCAATCAAGGATTTAATCCTCTGAATAGGCAACTAAAATTTTTTAGGTTTAATGAAAACTTGTAAGTTTATTCTAGTTAAGATGATCTTAAGCAATAACTTTACCTTTGCCTTGCTTTTTTTGTTAGTTGATTCTGGTATATAAATCACCTCCATCAGCATAGTCCATTACTATACATAAACATCTCTTATCCATGAATGATTCTTTGTATGTGATAATGAATGGATGCTTCATTGCCTTTAAAACATGAACCTATTAAAAAAATTTTATAACGGAATTCCCTATTAAAAAATGTGTTTACCTCATTAGCTGCATCTTCACGCTGCTTCTTGTCCATCTTTGATACATCTATAATCTATAATAGGAGCATTAATTCAAACATCCTCATTCAAATTGAATTGAAATTTACCTTCATGACATATGTTTATCTGTTGACAACAGACTACACAAGTACAGCATAGCCAAAGCTGCCTTTACCAATAACTTTTAACTTGCGGTATTTATCCATTCTTCTTATTTCAAAATTAAATAACAAAATTAGCTCTTTTATTTTTACAAAAAATCAATTAAAATTTCTAACTGATCAGATCCATTATGGGGTTTTGGGGTTTTGGGG